TGCCTTAGTGACACTCTTGAGTGTCACATGGATCAGGAATTGTCATGGCTGCATCCGAAAGTGTGGTACTTGTGAAAGGAGAACAAAGACTCAGAGGACATGTGAAGGGGAGCATCCTTGTGAACCCTCTCAGGGTTGGCCTGTGTGAGCTGGTGACACAACAGAAAGGACTGCTTCAATTTTTATTAATAGTAAAGGGGCCTTTAGATGATCTTAATGACAGCTCAATAATTTTGCACGCCTCGTGGATCCTTTTGAGGACAGTGATACATGCCCTGATAAAGGCTACTGAGGCCCTTCCCTCCTGAGGAGAGGAGTGATGACTCTTGAGTGATGTTACAGATGGTGTCAGAGAAGATAGTGGAGCAACTGAGTGAGACAGGCATTCAGGAAGTAATTTATTGCAGGTCTGTTGAGAAATGAATTAAAGAAGGAGTAAAAGTAAAACCGCTCCATGGAGTGAAGTAATGGTTTGTGAAGTAATGAACAACAGGCAATAAGTTGTGTGACAATGTTCTGTGGAGGAGGTGGCACACACAAAACAGAAGATGATTTTACTTTTGGTAGTGATACAACTTAAGTAGCTCCTAATTACTAATCTAATTACTCTTAAGTTCTAGCTGTTTATTCTTGCTTGTCTTGCAGCAGGAGTAGGGATTTGTGCCATTTGAGAGCAAGGAGGGAGGATGAATGAGCTGAAAAAGAGAATGTATTTGACAGCATTTTTAAAAATGAATTTTGATGGAGAATGCCAGGATATCACTGACACAAATCAGAGATCTAGAGTGATGAAGTTAGTACTAAAAACACAGAAATGCCTTAAAGGAAGGTGCATAATGTGTAGTAAAAGTTTGAACTGTCTTGGGTTGGCACTTCTTGAATCACATCTACTTGAATTTCATTTGGTTAGCACCTACCACTGTGGAGTTCTGAATCATGGTGATTCCTTCAAGCATTTTCCACAAATTATTACTGGATTTTTTTTTTTTTAAAGAAAATAAATTCATAGTGATTTTCCAAATATACAAGAAAAGTAATTCTTTACTGCTTTGTAACTTGCCAATGAAAATGAAGGAAATGTTTCCAGTGAATTAGAAAGGAATAGGATTTTGCTTATAAATAAAGGGAATTTTAATCCAACTGTTTCTTTGAGTATGAAAGTCCTCTAGACTGGACTATCCCTTCCCTTGCATCTGTGCATTTCTAGAATATTTTTTTTAATGCGTAACTTCCTTGGTAATTTACAAGGGATAATATGGCGCATGGTAGAAATTAAATTTCTCAACAGAAGTGTATATTTGGCATGGCCACGTTCACTTTCAGCTTTAAGAAGTAAGAGCAATTAGGCATGTGCCTCTCTGAACGAAGAGCAAAGTCTCAGTTAGAAAATACTTGTTCATAGATCTGTGTTGTAAAATAGAATGGCCCCTTCTTTAAGGAATATATCTGCAGTACAGCAACACAAGTACAGCCTGCAAATGTTACATTACATCCAGCCTGGGGCAGGCCAAATGAGGTATAAATCAATGCTTTTCTGGTCTAGTTTGAACTTGCTTTACGTGTAGTTAACAAAGATTTCCTTTAAAAGAAGGCTCTGGGTGTGGAAATTATTTTCTGACTTAAAGTATCATGCCATCCATTTCTGTTTTCTGTTGGTGGTATCATTGCTTTCTTGGGCAGTAAGTAAACCAGTGTAGAGTCTCTGTGTGTGTCCTGTCTCTGTTCCCCCCTGACCTTTCTCTCCTCTATCCCCCACTAATTAAAACACTTCTAGAATAAAATGTCATGAATTGGCAGGAGGAGGTACATACTGTTCTCCTGATAATTTAAATGTTACCTTTCTGTAGGATGAAAAGAGCTAGAGCCTGCTTTCTCAGTTGTAAGCAGAGTAGCCCCTCCTGAGGTGCTTTACAGAAGTGGAGCACAGCTGAGTATAAGAGCTGGATGCTGCCTGACATTTAACACTGCTGCAGCTCAGCTGCTCTTAGACATAGGAGTTCTTCCTCATGCTGTGAAAATACACCATGCTGTTCTCTTTACTGAGGGCTCTGAAGTTCTTAATACAGTGGTTTTCTTAAAACTTGGTGGTTTGATATTGTGAGAAGCTCATATTGAAGGGATAAGGCTTTTCAAAACAAAAAGAAGATGAAGGAAAATAATAAAACTAGTTATTTGTACCAATATCATAAGAGATTGTTCTATTTTGTTTTTCCTTTCTCATTCTGTAGCATGTCCTGAGTCCAGGGCAGCAGGTAGCCTGATAGGCTACCTCTAAAGCTATACTTCCATCCATTGCTGATGCTAGTGCACAAAGATGGACTGTTTTGGTAGGACAAGGCTCCATTGAAGTTACTGCTAATAAGCAAGCCAGCTCTGTTCACTTCAGTCCCATTCAAAACACAGGAAAAGGCTCAGCCCCTGCCAAACTTGAAAAGCTGAAACTATTACAGAGGTTAAAAATTATTTATTTCAAGTGGGTGTAAAACATATTTTCAAAATAAACACTGAAACCACACCTGACTCTTACCACATATATTAATCATATTCTGTGTGGGCATGAAGTACAGAAAATGTTGGGCTTTGTATTCCTTGGTTTTATAAATGCAGGTTTGTTCTAACTACCATTTAATACAAGCAATGCTTAAGTACTGTCAGATACAATGCACCTTCTCCTGTAGTGCTACTCCGTTGTAGCTTAGTTTACTCTTGGCTCTTTAATACCTCCCTAATGCTTAATTTAAAAAAAAAAAACAAAAAAACAAACTATGTAGTCATAGGTGGAATTAATTTGACTATTCACTTCTAAAGTGTACCTATACTTGTCTAAACAAAAGCTGATGTTAATCCTAGTGTGAGCTCTTTGTGTTTCTGTAGCAAATTGTTCTCTTATTTCTGTGTGCTTGTGTTCTGCAGTGCTGTACTGATGGTCATCTGCTTTTTAAGTACAGCTCCTTGATGCACTGGGTGATTCTTGAGAACACTCCATTGGTCTGTATGCTTGGTTTCAATTTTACATGCTGCTGCAGGTGAATCAGTGTCCTACAGGTATAAAATGTTGGCATTCCCCAGCGTGTAGTATGTGAGGTTTGGGGGATTTTTTTGTTCTGTTTTTTTTAATGCCGTTGAGTACATACTCCTCCTGTACTTACACTCGTCCATGTAAAAGCCGAGCTGAGCCTGATGTTTGCATATGAGAGAGCTGGAGAGCTCTGCCCACCTTTTAGAGCTGGAAATGAAATGTGGGGAATTTCCCTGCTAAGAATGGGTGTATTACTGGGGAGCTGCCTCTCCTCCATACTGCAGACAGATTTGCCTCCATCCTGACCTGCCTGTGCCTTGAGCCAAGGCTGCTCAGGGCGCTGTGGCAATGATAGCTTGCTGAAGTGTTCTCCACCATGCTCTGAGTCTGAGACTCGCTGCCACCATCCACACTCTGCGTTTCTATCTCTAGCATATACCTAATCTCTTTGCTCTCCCAAGCTCCTCTCTAGCTATGTTGCTGAGAGAGCCGGAGGTAGTGCAATAGGAGTTCTTTTGAAATCAGTATAAACCTTGGGTTTGATACCATGTTGTTATGATTCTTCTAATCCTCTGATTCCTGACTGAATTATTCAGTCAGAGTCTATGTGGCTCAGTTGATGAAGCAACAATGACAGGGTTGTGTTGTGTTGCTTTTTAGGTTTTTGCCATCCTTTTTAAGCTTAAATACTGCATTAGTGCTGACTTTGTGTCTTCTGGTGCCACTCTGCAGCAATGAGATCTGCATCCAAATCTGAGCTGTTTCTGTCGTATTTAGTGTATTGTTTGGCAGGTTTCTCTAATTGATCATCTTAAAGAATAAGCAGTGTGGGGGAATCAAACCTGCCAACCTTCAAATAGTAATTCCTGGAAAGAGATGCTGATTGCACCGTTTATCACTTCATGGAGATACTCAAGGAAGGAGTTGGATTGGTGGTCAGCTGCACTTGTGCAGTCAAAACTCACTTGTTCAGGATTACACAAACATGCTCTAGTGCTCTAGCTGGGTCCTTGCAGCCTCTCAAGATCCAGCAGGGTTTATTAACTTGGGCTCACTGCCAAACAAATGCAACTCTGGTGCTCCCAGACCAAGGAGGGTCTGCTGTTTTGGCATGGAGTCCGAGCAGTTAAAGCCTGCCAAGCGTGAACAGTGCAGATCTGGGTCCAGCATGGTTCTTGAATCCAGGAGATCTAGAAATATGGATCAGCTTGGGACCATCAGGACTCATTAGATCAGCAACAGTTTCTGTCCTGTTAACCTCAAGCTTGTTTGTTTGGTTTTTGTGTGGTTTTTATTAAGGTTTTTTAATGTTGTTGTTTTGGGGGTGTGTGTTTTTTAAAACTTTTAACTCGTGAGTTCTGGGAAAATTTATTAGCTTGATCAGTTCCAAACTCAACTAAAACTTTCTGCATGTGCAGTATGGAATATAAGGAGCTTCTTGAAAGCAGACTGCAGAGGCACTTAGTGTACTGAGCAGGGTTCCTGAGTCAGAGCTGCTGATCCTAAATTGACTTTTTATTTCTCTATGCTGTGATTCCCAGGTCGTTTTTCAGTGAAACAGTATGCAAATATTTCCATTGTCTGCTTTTTCACAGCCTTTGTGAGCTGTGACTGTGGTGCACTGACCATTATGCGCAAAGTATTTAGTACTGGGTGGACATTTTTAGTTAGGACTTGTATTTGGTTATGTGGTGTATGTAGCCATGGTGCATACACTGAGAGAATATGTTTAATAACTGCAGTTATCAGGGTAATTAGCTTTTCTGTTTGGATTTAAATATGCTCTTTGGAAAAATTGCAGTGTGCTTGGTGTAACTCCACCAAGCACAAATTAAATAATTTAAAGATGATATGCTAGGTAGTCTCTGGATTGTTACAGTATTTGAAGTTAACTTTTCTCACAAAATTCACCAATGCTTGCTTTACTTTCCCAAGCAAAAGATCATACAGCTCTTCTTTTTTTTTTTTTTTTTATGTGCAGGTGCAGCTGGGACAAGCGGATATAAAATGCCCCATCACAGAGTGCAGCGAACACCTGGATGAAACAACTGTCCTCTATAACCTGCCCCATGATGACATCATCAAGTATAAATACTTCCTGGAACTCAGCCGCATTGACTCCAGCACCAAGCCATGCCCTCAGTGCAAGCACTTTACAACCTTCCGGAGGAGAGGCCACATTCCTACCCCTGCCAAATTGGAGAACAAATACAAAGTGAGCATGCTTGCCGGGGCTGTGGGTTAGATGGCACTGCAAAAGTAGGACAGCATTTGGTGAGCATTAAATGAACTTTTTTGTTTCACTGGAGCTGTGTGCAAGCTGTGATTAGGAATATGAACCTGTAGTACATCATTAATTAAGTATTTGACGTCTAACAGTTGAAGCAGCTGAACTCTTCAGCCTGTTTTTTTATTTGTTTTTTTTTCTTGGTAGGGGGCATAATTTTGGCCTGACATACATTTTAACTTAAAGCGTGTCTTCTTTCTGACATGCAGAAAATATGATCACAGTCAGAAGAGACTGGGAAAGGGGAGTTACCACTATAACCAATAATTTTAGACACACAGCTTATAAATTTTCCCTGGAACTCTGGGTGAGTGAGTTCTGGGCATTTATTATGTTAGGCTGTTTGCATTGCTTCTTCCTTAGTAATAGAGCTGTTGTGTGTCCTGCTTGTTGATTCTGATTTCTTCACTCCCTTACCAGACGTTATACATTACTGTAGTCTCCTTATTCACAATGCAGAACTTTGAGAAATAGAGGGGGAAAAAAACCCATATCTACAGCATTTCTTTTCATAGAATAGTTGCTTATACTATGATTTTAACCAAAGATAAAAAGCAAGAATTTAGAATAATCTTTGAGCTGTTGCAAGTCCATTTAAGTTCCAGAAGACAACAGTTGTCTGCAGCACCATGTTCTGTGATAGCTTTTCATCCGGTTACTAGATTTGTTGTGGTTAATTTCATGATTGAGTTCACCTTTCCTGGACAAACCAGTTCTCAGTAGGAGTTTAGATGACTGTTTAGATAGCCCTAATTACACAGCATAAGATTCAGCCCAGTATGAAGATTAAAAGGTAGAAGGTTGTGTATTCATTGCAGCTGAAAAGTTGGTAAAGCTAATTCTGAGTTATGAGCTATTTGTGCATATCTGTTTAGGGCATGGATTACATGCCACACTCTGTTGGAGTCAGTGTTTTCAAATTTTTGTCATCTTACACTGAGGTGGAAAAAATTTGAAACTGGGAGTAAAATTCCTTCTGCCCAAAGCTATTCTCTTTCACCCATCTGCTTCATCATCACCACACATCAGATGTAATCCAGGGTAGATCAGAGCTTGTAATGCTTTGGCAGCTGCCTCTCCTAGTTGTCAGAGGCTGTTAGTGTCCCACAAGTGTGGGTCATTAGTGCTGAAGCTGTTGTATCACAGGTCTGCCTGATCTGAAAACATTCCTCAGGATGTAACCAGTGCTGTTTTATGAGTTAAAATGATACAGTTAAAATGTCCCCAGCTGCCCTACAAACCACAATGGGAAGGAATGGGAGACTGTGCAAGCCAGGAGCAGTTCACTGGTCATGTGGCAGTTCAGTGTGTGTGCCTCTGATCTGCAGAGCTTAAATCTCCTGGCAACAGACTCTGGCAAAATGTATCCTTAGAGCTGAGCCGAGGTGTTGTGTGCAAGAATGTCTAGTTGATGCTAGACAGAAATATAATTGGGACAATGCTGGCAAGCAGTATGGGTGATCATGGTCCACAGGATTTCAACATACTCCTTGAACCTCAAGTGTATGTTGAACCTTTTGGTGTAGGTACAGTTGCAGTCATTATTTTAAGCTTTGCACAAGGAGAAGTTTTGTTGCAGGGAGAAGGTTTAAAAAGATGACTATATATGACATGGAGCAGATATATGAGTGATTTACATGCACACATAGCTGTGGACCAATATTACCTGTTTTCTTAGGTTCTCGTGTCTCATGTGATTACATGTACACATTGTGTCTTAAATTTTAGGCTATTTGGAGGCGAAAATACATTTTATTTTGTATATATTGCATAGGAGACATCTGACTAGAGGCTTTTGAGGCTGCCCTATTCACATGCAAGTAATATAAACAGCAATTGCACTAGGTGAATTCTGCACCAGCACTGCAAGTGTTGGCTTCAAGAGAACTGAGTCATCTGGGGAACACACAGGCAGAAGCCTGCTGGTAGGATCATAGCACAGCCAGTACGCTCACTCTTTCATACACTGCAAGGAGAAAGCATTCTAAAATACAAGACTTCATTTGAACTGATACTTTAAAAATGTTAATGCCACTTCTAAAATTCGATACAGTATTTAAAATTACAAATAACATGGAAATTTAAAGAGGCAGCAAATTTATAAATTAGTTTTTCTTATAGCTGATTTGTGTCAGCTAAGCTGGTCTAGGTCCAGCAGTTCAGTTGGCTGAGTTTCAATTCTTGGTGTACTAAGCCTAGAAAGTTAACATGTATGTTGAGGAAAGAGGGGAAGAAAGTGAGAACTTGCTATCCAAACCTTTATTCTACCATTAGTGCCACTTAAGATCACACAGACCAGCAAGAGATCTATTTAATTGTCTACATAAAATATTTTTATCACAAATGGAACCCGCATTAGCTCTGAAAATTTCCTTGCCCCCTCTGCTCTGTGAAATTCATAATGAAGTTTTATTGTTCATTCTGTCAAGAGATAAAAGTCACATAAAAGGAGGACTTGAGTACTTGGGTTTGCAAATGTGTTTTTTCAATGCATTTATTACACAAGCTTACTTGATTTTGAACTACTGAAGAGTTTCTGAAAGTTGTTCTAGAACTAGCGGGAATTTGTACCAGCAGAGATGCTGTGATAGAGCTGATCTGTTAGCTCCCCACTTTTGGATCAGATTTTAAGTGGCAGGTATCTTCATGGCTATACATGGCTTCAATCTACCTTGAACCTCAGCTGCTGTTAATGTGGTGATTTTGCTCTGCTCTCCCTCCTTGCTCTCAGCTGTTCATTCCTGCCAGCCTGCTTCTGCTTATGAAGATTTTTGGTGTCATGCTGGGAGCTGGATCAAAGATCAGCCCTAATGGGGTACAAAATTTGTTTTGTTGTTGCTTATTTTCAGCTGTTTCAAGAGAGAGGATGGGTTGATGATGAGGAGAAGGAAGCTGTTTTGGCTGGAGCCCATATTTATTTTCAAATAAAGTGACAGTGTCTGCAGCTAGAGACTGTAATTCATGTAATCAGTTAATTGCATAATTAATTTGGCCATCCTGTTATATAGCTGCTGTTCCACCAAGCAGCAGAAAATCCCACTAAGCTTCAGGTTCTAGGGATATTTTTCACGTGCAGTCAGTTTTGCTATCATCTGGTCACACTGAGTTAGTTGTATTTTGTGTTGAAATTATCTATCAGTTTAGAAAAGTCTTTTCCTGTGAGGTGAGGAAACTGATAGATAAAGTAGCTTTCAGCAAAGAGGCTTACTAAGAAAATGGAAAATGTTAGCCTCAAAGGTCAGTGTTTCAGAAAGCTGACAACCAAGAGAATTAGAACATAAAGTTGTGTAATCTTTTTCTACTTCAAGGAAGGCTGATTGATCTTCAGATGGCATAGAAATTTGTGTATATATCCATTCTCTCAATTCTGATCAATAGAAATGGAAATCCTAAAATAAATGGGAAAATGTTTGTAAGGAAAAACATATTTGAAAGAAGACAAGGTTAATGTTTTGTTTTGCAGATATAGTTTGTTTTGCTGGACTATAATATATTTTACTGGTTTAAAATCATATGTAGATAACATTTCTGTCCTTGCTATGGCGATTTCATGCATAACTACTGAATCAAATAATATTTGACTTTTCTTTCATAAAAGCAGAAAAAAGGTGGAATAAGAATGTGAAAGACATTCTTATTGTAATTGCCCTGTTCTGTTTCCGTTTCTTAAGCACAGGGGTATCACACTGTATCCAAGTTGGAATGATTTTAGGGGTTTGTTTTGCAGCCACTAGTTCCAAGAAAAACAATGTTCATAACTGCTTAAAGGACATAGTTTTCTTTGCTTGCTTCAGTTATGCTCAGGAAGCATTGAACCCACAGAGAAGTGAAATGGCCCATTCAAATTATAAAAACTCTTTACAAGTTCAGTTTTGAGGAAGGTGCTGTCAGGGTGACAAGTGGAAGAGGAAACTGGTGATGAAACATAGAGTTCTCGCTAGTTCACTTAGGGCCATTTGTGGTAAGAAATGTTATTTTGAGTTCCTGTGGTTATAGCCTCATCCTGTATTTCAGTACTTTCTGATTAATGTATTTGGAAATACCTCGTGTCAGTGCAAATGTGTATCCTGGTGGCTGCTGTAATGCTTTCGCTTATCTAATGCTGTAACAGAAAGAGTATGCAATTAATTTGTCAGATATTCATCAAAAAACAAACCAAACAAAAAACAAAACTACAGAACTTGTGCGTTAAATTGTTGCCTTTTCTTTAAGGAAGAAGCTTTAACTTGCAGCTTCCTGACCTGTTGATTTGGGCTTGTACGTTTTAACAACCGTGTTCTATCTCAAATGTCTGAATGCTGCAAATGATAAAAGTTTTCAGGTTGTAGAGCACTTACTTGTGGCTACAAGCTCCATCTTTGGCTGAGGCATAAACAAATACTGAGCCCTACAATATGATGCTATAATCAGTCTTCCCAGAAGTAGGACACTGTGACATGTGTTGTTGAAAGACATAAATTCGATGCCGGGAGGGAGTGGAGGAGAAAAACGAAAAAAGAAAGATACGGAGATATGGGTTAGGATAGGTTAGATGACTGTCTTGTGCATATTGTTTTTTAAAGTATTGTGTAAACATTGATCAGTGCTCTGTGTTAGTTTGGTTAGTAGCAATATGTATATCATTCTTTAGATTTCTCAGAGCAGGAAATTTTCCTTCTGTTGAACTGGTTTTATTAGGAGAAATCATCTGGGAAGCAGAGATGCAAGTTAGTATGTTTTCATTGATTCAGCATCTTGGCAACTGCCTCATTAAATTTGAGAAAGGGCATTATTTGATATTACTTTTATTTTATACTACTTTTATTTTATACTTTATCATGGCCTTGGACAAGTTTTCAGGTAAAAACTAATAATGTTTGTAATCCACATTTTAGTCCTAATATGTTGTTTCTCTTTAAAAAGATGTAGTGATTGCATGTGCAAATAATTTTGGCCAGCCCCAGAAAAATATGTAAGGGAGATAAAGCACCTACTTTGGACTCTTAATTGTAGTCAAGGAAGCATAACACCAGTTGTCATAACTCAACAGGAGGGCACAGCACCTGGTGGGAGTGAGAACTTGAGAAATATGTTTTGGGGACTTTACATGTGACTACACTCTAGGATATAGTTTCCTGAGAAGCACCCCCACACCATGTGTGGTCATCACAGATGTTTCTCTGGTTTGGTGGTGAACCAAGTCTGGACACAGATATAACCAAAAACCCTTGGTTTGGTTGAATTCCTCAGTCCCATCTATCAGCTGGGTGCACAGCCCAGGGCAGTGCTAGACATGGACTGCAACTGGAGATGGTGGACAGTGCTCAGCAGTCACTTGGGCTGCTGAGATGTTTTGCTGCCAAACACAGCAGAAGTGAACATGTTGCAGAAGCCTGGATGTTGCCCGAGTCTAATGTGGCTTCTAGTTCTTGCTTTCCTTAGTCATGATCCAGGTTGGAGGCCTGTCTTTCGTCAGATACGCAGCTGCACTGTGCCTCTGTTTATTACTCCTGCAAACACAGCAGCTGCCTTTGCTTTTCACATAAAAAAACATAAGCAGGCTGTGTAAGAAGGTGTGATGATGATGTTACCTGTTTGACACAATGATTTAAAACTGAGGGAGTGGAAAGAATAGATCCTTTCTCAATTTAAATAAGGCTTGTGGGTTTTGCCATTAGGTGTGGTCTATAGCAAGTGGGCTGTTTGGCACAGCCTCAGCTTGCCTTGACGCAATCACGAGCAAAAGGAGGTGCCTGATTTCCCGTTGGTAGTTGTGGCTCTTGGATGAGAGCCTTGTTCATGGTCCCTTTTCCCAGGACCATTTCTAATATCAGCTTCGTAACCCATGCCAAGTTCTGTAGAACCTCTTCAGAAGACCAAGTACTTTCTAATAGGATATGGCAGTGCAGTTTATTCCTAGAAAAAGACAGATCCACTGCACTGAAAACTGTCAGCTCATTTTTAGGTGCTCTCCCAAATGTATTGGAGGCAATTGAATAGGCTTTCTGGATTCTGCCTTTTGTTAGTTGAGCCACATAATCACTTTGGGAAGTAGTGCTTGTGACTAAACCAAACTACTTATGCTTCATTTGATTGAGGCCTTTCCCAGCTTTAGCAATTACTTCTGTATTTTCCCTTGTTTAAAAAGGAAAAGAACATGCTAGCTTCCACAACTTCTTGTGTTTTTAAAACAGAGCCTCCAAAAGATGTTAGGTCTTTGCTGGGCAGCTGCTCTCTTAATTGAAGAGCAGTGGTTTTAAAACAGACTTGCTAGTTGTATCAGCACCCATCTTGCAAATATGTGGTGTTTTCTCATTTATACAGATCCAGTGTCCATCTTGCCAATTTGTCTGGTGTTTCAAGTGCCATTCTCCCTGGCATGAAGGCGTTAACTGCAAAGAATACAAGAAGGGAGACAAGCTGTTACGTCACTGGGCCAACGAAATCGAACACGGGCAGAGGAATGCCCAGAAGTGTCCAAAATGCAAGGTGAGCTGCTCTCCCTTGGCTTACAGGTAGTACTTCAAACTGTTCAAATATACATTTAAAGTAAATATTTGTAGCTTCTGCTCAGTATTGGACATGAAATTCATACTTACTGTGCAGTTTGTTGTTAATGACCATTTGAGAAACGCAGGTCAGATTTTTTTGCTGGTTCCTGCACTGATTCTGCAGAATGTCTGCATGTAAAAGAAACATGTATTAAGAGGGGGCTTTGATGTATGCTTAGAGTCATAGAAATGTTTGGGTTAATTAATTGCAGAATAAATTAATCCTAAAATAAAGCTTTAAAGAAATGGAAAGCTTTAGGGAAATACAGTGCCCTTTGTCAGGTTTTCCAGACAGTTTGAGTGTATTCAATATCTGAGTAAGACTGGAAATACTCTGTCAACAAGTTAACTAAGGGAAACTAAGACTTGGCAAAATTGTAAGTTTTGTAGGATTGAATGTTACTTCTTCAGAAGCTGTACCTCAAGGTGGGTCTTCACAGGCCACACCTCGAGTACTGTGTCCAGTTCTGGGCCCTTCACTTCAAGGACATTGAGGTGCTGGAGTGAGTCCAGAAAAAGGCACCGGAGCTGGTGCAGGGTCTGGAGCACAAGTCCTGAGAGGAGTGGCTGAGGTCCCTTCTGAGCCTCGTTTTTAGACTGGAGAAAAAGAGACTCAGGAAGGACCTTTCCATTCTCTAGAGCCACCTGAAAGGAGGGGTATAGCCTGGTGGGGGTCATCCTCTTCTCCCAGGCAACCAGTGACAGGACAAGAGGGCATAGCATCAAGCTGCACCGGGGGAGGTTCAGGCTGGACATCAGGAGGAATTTCCTTGCAGAAAGGGTTGTTAAACATTGGAATGGGCTGCCAGGGAGGTGATGGAGTCACCAGCCCTGGAGGTGTTCAAGAAATGACTGGATGTGACAGTGCCATGGTCAGATGACAAGGTAGTGATCAAAGGTTGGAGTTGATGATCTCAGAGGTCTTTTCCAACCTAGATGATTCTCTGAAGTCTTTCTCATTATTAATTTTCAACACTGAAATGCAGTTCCACATCCCAAAAATGCCATTGATCCCTTCAGTGATAAGTATTTCCTACTACTCAAATGAGATACAACAGCCCTGCACACCCCTGTCCCAGTTGCCCTTAATGGAGGTTGCTCTCAAATTTGTTGGCTATATTTTCACAGCTTCCAACAGAGCAGTAAGTTAAAGCTGGACTGTTTCGTATCAAATGAATATTGAATGGGAAGGTTTACTTATAAACATACATACATACAAAGTATACATCACAGTTTGAGCCTTACACTGTGCAAATAAGGAAATGTTCATCAGTTTATTAAGTAGCATATTTTGGTCTTTGAGAAAGAAATGCCTGTGATGCCATAGCTTGAAATTGAAAGATTTCAAAACACTGAGTGAAATTGGAAAGTTCTGAAATCAGCAGCTGGTTGTTTACCCTTCTTCCTTACACGTGTGACCTTTCCACAGAGTTTTGCAGCTTACTTTTTGGTAAGAGTTGATTGGTTTGAGTCAATTCTAAAAATGTTCACTTTCTGGGAAGTCTTAAAGTAAAATACTTTGTTCCTTTTAGAGTTGGAAGAAGTATGTGTTTTGATTTTAATTGTTTGACTTGTGTCCAGGTTCAGATTTTATGACAGTGGGAATGATGTAACTTAAAATAAACTGTCCAAAAAATTAAGGAAGTGGACCAAGCAAAAAAAATTCGAATGTGGAAAAACAGGAGTGGTAAGAAGGCTGATAGCTGGAAAGAGAAAAGAACTAAAACTGCTAAGTCTAACATTAAGCCTGAATAAGTTAAAAATTAAAATGCCATGTTTAAATATTCAGCTCTTTTCACCATCTTCAAAAGAAAAGGCTGGACACTTGAAACTTACATGGCTTGTTACCAGTTCTGAAGCATGAAGTTGCATGAGTTTGGCTGCTAATTTAAAAAATACTTGAGGTATCTTTTCTTAATCAAAGGAAAACAAAACCTACATGGTGGGAGGCAGTATGGAAACTTATGAAACTAGCACAAGAAAAAGAGCCTCTGTTAAGTCCTTCCGGTAACGTGGCACTGTAAGTGAATATTGAAGAAGGAATTCAACCTTTTATTAACGTGTGTTGCTATCCTAACTCTCAATACTTTTTTCTTCAGAGGTGAAAAAAAGTTCTTCCTGCATACAATCTCCAAAATGTTTCTCTCAGCATACTGTTTATTTTTAAATCAAGTCTATAACCTGCAAGTAATCAAAAGTACCACTTAGCCAGCAGTTAGTTCAAAAAGTACATCTTCGACTTCGACTAGTTCAGAAAAATATATCTTAAGCAGTACTCTTTGTCAAATCTTTAGTAGGTGTTTGGGCATATGGGGATAAGCATTCTGACAGTTTACAATTTGAAGTCAGGGGGATTGGATCTAATACTTGCCTGCCTCTCTCTCCCATCCATCCATCACTCCCTCCAAAACCTGTATATAACATAACGTTGAATCAGATGTTAATATATTTCCAAATAAAGAGTGACAGAGAAAATAATTTGCAACATATTATTAGATTTATCCATGTTCTAAGTCCGCAGAGGCAATGTTTCAAGTGAAGACACACTTTATTTTTAATCTCTTCCATATTTTACTTGAAAATTTGCAGCAACCAAATTGGCAAACAGATTGAGGAAAAGTCAGTATTAAATTATGTCTAAAGATATTAGTATTTCATCTTTACACTAAAGCTGAAATGAATGGAAATGACAAGTAAAAACTTAAGTAGAGGTATCGTTACTTTACTGAAGTAATATGTAGAATTTCTGGTGACTTCCAAAGTGTGATACTGATTACAGTGTAAACTGTGACCATATTTTTCAGATAGCTTCAGGAGATAATTATTTATATGCACAGATACACACACAGAGACTCTTTTTAGCTGTACTGTGGAGAAATTGAGTACATTATCTTGTCTGAGCATGCAGGTGAGAAAATCAAAACACACTTATGGAGTATTTGTATACAGAGGCAGATCCTCAGGCAAATATGAGTATTTCAGTGGTTTGGGTAAGTGATTTGGAATAACATAATCCTTTGTAATGTCAATATAGTGGGGATTGGTAAATAAGCTTAAACTTGATTACTTTTTCCTGTAGTTAGATACAGCTTTAGCACATCTAATAGGAATAGCTTATATTTACCTGGTCTCTCCAAGATGTGTTTACATAAGATAATAAAAATGTCACACATTATCCAGATGCTTAATTGTAGATTTATGTTGTGACTGTGTGTCGGTATGGAAATATGGGAAAATGCTACTTTGTTTAGACTGTATCTTAAATTTATTCTGACTTTTTTTCTTAATAGAGCCTTTTCCAAATTTACTGTACACTATTTTGAGAGTCAGTGTAGACCATTTTTCTCGACAAGACTTGTCCAAAAAGTGGTGGTCTTGTTCTAGAGTAAGTTGACTAATAAGTGCAAATTTGCTACTTGTTATTGAATGTCATTTGCCAAAATCCATAACATCTATAATGTCTTTCCCCAGTACTGTTTTAAGGGGTTATTTTTTACAATTTCTTGGTATGTTTGCAACAAAATGCTTTTGTTTCCACAAGTGTTTTTACAGCACAGCAAACCAAGGAAATATTCCATGTTGGTGTTATCTTACCACAGATTTCAAAAGCAACACTATCTGAGGAAACACCACATAGCAACTCTAGCTTAGAAGACTTTGAACAGCAGCAGAAATTTAAGAACAAGCTTGTCAATGCAAATAAAGGAGTGTGTACTTCTTATCTGTTCTGATTCATATAAGGGTTATCAAATAATTCAGGGCATAGTTTCTGGAAGTACTCTGCAAATTAATTTTTATCCCCTGGAGGGAGGAGAGTCCTTATTTGTATACAGAGGGATAAAGTTATGCAGGTTTTCTTCAGGGGTGGAGGAGACATCCTCAGAACTCTTGGCAGTGACTTCCCTAGAAGATTTCTATGAGAGGGCATGTAACATGCAGGGGGGTCATGAGGGTCTGAAATAGCCACTGTGCTACTTTGATTGTCTGCTTAAGGCGCCGAACTGGATGTGTTTGCCCTTGGTGTGTAGTTTTCACCCCTGTTGTTCTGGAAGCTATTCTTGGGTTTCTGAATGGCTAAACCTCCCTCTGTAAGCTCTGATATCTGAGCCATCAGCGATGGCTTTCTCAACCTATAGATTTGTGATCCATCTCTGTCAGTGCATTATCTGGAGGGCACAGAGGCATGCCCATGGGAACCGGAGATGAAGCTGATCTGGTTATCTGGTTAGCTGATCTGTCATGTCTTAGGCTTGAAAGCAGCCTGACCAAATGATACGAAGTTCACTTGGCATTGTCAATCTGCAAAGCATGTGATAAGGAGTCCAAGCCCTGCATCTAGTGTTTGTGGGTTTTTTTTTACTTTGTTTTTTTAATCAAGTTTTTACTCACTGGAAAAAAGGAAAGTTTTTGCAATAAAAAGGTATGGGCGGGTATAGCCGGTTGTTCCAGATTTGCAGCATTTGAACACGGTTACATGTGCAGATGAGTAGTGACTAAAATATTTTTATGGTTTGCATTTTGAAGAAGCAAACGTGACGTGTGTGTAGTTGCAGCATTTGTCTGTAAGAAAATAAATCCTTATCAACTTCTTTCATGTTTCAAGAGGACAATGCATCTGGAGAATTTAGGGCAGAAACAAGTAGATTGACAAATTATTAAGGAGTAATGCATCACTAACTGGAGCTGGGAGGTTTCTAGGATAGCATGGGTAGAAGGATAGCAGGCAGTTTCTAAGATGTGGATATTTCTGAAAGATATGAATGGTAGAACATAAAGGGCTATTGCTAGCATCTCCTTGAAGTTCTTACTACCAACAAAATGCGCTTATTTTTGAAATGTGAAGTAATTTTGGTTTGTATCCAGGATTTTTATAGCTTCCAGGATTCTACAGAATTACAATAAAGATGAATGGTAACTTAATTGGGTTGGTAAATTAGAGAAGAGAGAGGAGAATTCAACAGTCTTGATTCAAAAAGAAAATAAAGCAACCAGTTAATTCTCATTAGTCACAAAATCTAGTTCCCTCATTTACATTTTTAAGATGGAATCAGCAGATGAGGAAAATTACCCTTTAAATTACCAGTCTGTATAGTGGCTGGTTAAGTTTGTCCCCTGAAAATTAATTTAAATCAAATTTTAAAGCAAATTTGTCAAAATGCTTCTAGTCACTATTAAAATTCCTTGATTTCAGCTCAAGTTAATCTGAGGAATTACAGTGAATAAACTACAGCTCTGTAAATGGGGTCAAATTTTTTTTCATATGTAACCTGGAAAGTCAGAAGTCAAACTGACAATGCAATGTCCCTTTTGGAAAACAAAAGACTGTATATCTTATGTTATGCTTAAGTTGGTATAACATTGGGTAAACTTCTCTTTCCACTTTGCCTGCTGTCAGTGCTTACCTGTGAAAGTTATGAAGTCAAGTGGCTTATAAAGCTCATCAGCAATGGTATTTTTTAAGGTGCTTCTGGAAAACAGGACACCCACCTGTAATGCAGCAGAATTCCTTGGGGTAGAGGTGGATGTTTGCTTGGTCAGACAAATTTTAAGTCTACTAGAATACTTGCCTACTAGAAAGCATTTTTTTTAATAGCCTAGTTCTCTCCTTTGTGAATGTCTTTCCGCTCTTTTGTATAAAAGCAGCATTTGAAAGTATAAAAATGCAAAATCTGAGATCACTACTGTGGCACAGGGATGCTGGCAGGTGTATCTGGAGCTACTGTTATCTTTGTAACTCTTTTACCTTGAGTGTTGCAGGCGGAAAGGATCACTTTGTTACATGTATAATGTGCCAGTTTCAGTAGATCTTTGGGCAAGCAAGGTGAGAGCCCAGATCACCCCTGATCAACATCAAAAAACAAATGCATTTCACCCTCTCAAGAATGTCGGGTACCCCAGGAGTCATGAGCTTCTCTGGAGCTCACTGAGCTTTCAGTGTCTCTGGTGCTTGGAGGTGCCATGTCTTTGCCTGTACCTCCCTGCAAAATAAATACATGTAGGTAAGTATAGGAGTTTCAGGAGGCATTGATTTATCTGGTGCAAGTTTCAACAGGTGAAATTCAAATTGGATGTAATGGAAAAAAGTATTCCCCCAGTAGATGGTGAAGCATGGTATAGATGGCTCAAACAGGCTGTGACATACCCATGCTTGGAAAATTTTTAAATCTAGTGGCATGAGATCTGGAGCAATCTGATCTATCTGGAGTTATCCCAGCTTGGAGTTAGGGGTTAAAATAGATGACCCCCAAGCATCACTTTCAACCTCAATTATTAGCCTATGTCCTGTTCCTCTCTGGAACGTGGTCTTGGAATGCAGGATGGGGAACTATTGATGCAGGCAGTCAAGAGAAAGATGGCTGTAGAACCGGGGCAGCCCTGTTTTATGCTGTGCTGTAGGCATCATGAAAGCTTGGTATTATTTTTTTATTCCACATATAGTTTGCGCGATTTTTTTTTTTTTTTTTTTTTAAGAAGGAGAAAGCATCCATACTTCTCAAATTGTGCACTGTAATAGCATTGTCTTTCTGGTGTTTATTACAAAATGACAAATCAATTTGTGATGGAAAAGGGAATGAAGCCACGGGTGGCCTAAGAAGTAAACCCATCTGTGGAGGGGTCAAACAGAGTTCATAACTATGTTCACTGTGTTGTTTTTGCTTTTAATAAATTTTGGTGCTAACATATCTACTTCAGCAATGAAACCAAAATTTCAGAAAGGGCAAGAATTCTCATCTGCTATGAAGAGTAACAAAAAATGAGGATTATGTAGATATAAGAAGGGGGAATCTGGAAACAATAGAACTCACATTTAATGCTCTGACATGCCTTAGAAAACCATTATTGTCTTAAGCCAGCTGCAGTATTAATTAATGAAAATACTGACTTAGCAGGGGGTTGCTTTCAGCTTCTTTTCATCTGGCACATGAGCTGCCCCAGATAGTGCCCACTTTCCTGTGCTTAGGAAGGGGGAAAAATAATATCTTTTTTGCTTCTGCTCATACAGATCCACATCCAGAGAACTGAAGGGTGTGACCACATGACCTGTTCACAGTGTAACACTAATTTCTGTTACCGTTGTGGGGAGAGATACCGCCAGCTCCGCTTCTTTGGAGACCACACGTCAAACCTCAGCATCTTTGGATGCAAATACCGCTACCTCCCCGAGAGACCACATCTAAGGAGATTAGTGCGAGGCTCTGTCTGTGGTGAGTGGATTCGTGCTCCTTGTGGAGAGATGCACGATGAAGTGATTGGGGGGATAGGGCAATTGCAGTTAAATTAAAACTAGTGGTTTAAAGGATTGGATGGGCTACTTGTTTTTCAGTTATTCAAAAGATATTAAGTATATTTAAATATATGGAATTTGCCCTCCCTTTTTAGATGGACTGTGTGTGATTAAGTAGTGTGTCATCTTCTGGTAGCTTGTTTCCTAATTTTTAATAATACTGGGAAAGTGCTGTCAATATGCATGTCGCTGGTATTCATTATTCTGAAGGTATATTGGAGAAATGGGTCAGAGGACGAAGCTTATTTAAATTAACCTTAGTGTAAGTCTATTTGAATTAAGTGCCCTTTGGATTTGAACCTGATGCGAGTTGAAAAACTCAAGCTTTTCCCATATAAATAGGAGGATAGTATTTTAACTGTTAGCTTTAGTTCAGCTAAAATCAGCTTGAAACAAAATACAAATTACATACATTAATTTTGCTCACAAAAGTATGATGCCAAAAATGTTTTTTTATTAAACAAAAAGACACTCATAATTTGCTTTCAAGCCAGATATCTGTCTCAACCTATATAAGAGTCTGCCTTATTATCTTGTGCTTCTATTATGTGGTGTCTTTCATAGATGAGAAGTTCAATCATTGTAGTGAGTTTACGGCATGTGAGGTGACATATATTGTTACAGAAAATGGATTAACTGTCAAAAACTGGGAACCTGTCAAGCAAAATAGAACTTTCCATACTTCAAATTAAGACATAAAAATTGGAGATGACTTGTAGTTTGCCTAGGATGAGGAAATGCTTTGAGCTTGATTGTAGAGGTAAAGGCAAGAGACAGAACATGTGGGAAAAAACAGACCTGAAGTGAAAACATTACTCCTGAGCCAGACATGTTCCAATAAGAAAATTAAGTGGTTTCCAGAGTAACGTAAGAATTAAGACACAAACTCATAGACCTGGTAATAAAAATGCCAGTCTTCCTGCTCTTGATTGTGAGAGATTTGTAAACTTTGAGTGCTTGTTTTAAACAAGTGGCAATATGTCATCCAAGCCCATTAGTTTGACCCCAGGAGCTTGCAAGGCTTTGGTAACAAACTTTGAGTAAAGTGATTTAAAGATACAGAAAGAACTAGAAAGGAGATGAAAATTGAAAGTGATTGGAGATGCCTACTCTAAAACATTTTGTAGAGGTGAATTGCAATGCAGGAGAAGATCTAGCCTAGATGGAAGACAGGGCACATGAATATAAACGTTCATTAATAAATTCAGGCTTAAACTATGAGAACCGTTTCAAAGCACTTAGTAAGATTTCAGAAGAGCTTTTAGCAATAGCCACAATGGCAAACAGTGTAAGCTGTTTTTAAATAAATCTTGTCATATTTGGTGTAATTAGTCTCCGCTGTAGCAACAGATTGTACTCAGAGACATTACAAAGTCAGTGCTGCTCACGTGCAGAATCACGGGTAACCTTATTAGAATCACAGAATAGGCTGTCTGTGGGAGACCAGTGAGGTGTTGCTAAATATGTGGGGGTTTTGTATGGCTTTTTAGTTTATTCCTTTGGAGAAGAAATGCTTTCATAAATGTGATTTTGTAGCCATGTGGAGTGAAGGTTTCTTGGGTTGTTTCTAAAATTTGGCCAGGTGGAGTGTGTAGAAAGATCACCTCATGGTAGGCTGGCATGCTATCCTGATTTCTGTTGAGAAGCAAGTGCATGCAGTCACAAACTGCTTTGCAGTAAAAATAAGGGAAAAGTATTTATGGCAACATAAATTTAAACATACTTTTCTTCACAAACCAGCTGTTATGTAAAGGTGATAGTAATCACAGGAAGAAGAAAACCCGAAAGCAGAAGTGATCTTTGACATTTCTCTCCCTTCTTTAGCTAGCATAGTTTTTAGAGAAATTGTCCTGTGACCAGTACAGTCAAGGGAAACTGTTTTTATTCCCCCATCCCAGCAGACTTAGAGATTTCATTCTTTTGTAATTGTTTGGCTGAATTCTTGAAGGCAGAATGTTTGGTTATAACTGGAATCAGTGATGAATTATACAGGAAGGGAAGGCATGTTCAGCTGTCTTAAGTGTACTCAAGATGCCACTGGAATGCCACCTGGATTCAGTTGATGAATTGTAGTCAAAATAAATTGGTTGGTACTTCATGGATGTGTAACAAGACACAACATGTAATGAAGCTATTAAGGTGAATGAATGTTTTTCGCATGGTAACCAGCATTTCAGATAGGATTCTGAAAGCAGGATGTTTTCAGATCTAGCTGACGTTTATTCCTATCCCAAGCAAAGCACAAGGTTCACTTCATGTAAGCATGGCTTTGAGCCTCACAGGAGGCAGCATGCATTTCTGTGATCCAGCCTTCATTAGCAACTTCGTATTTTAGTTGGTCTGATTTGTAAGAAGTTGTCTCTATATCCTTGGTATGTAGACTTTTATTAGAACGTATGTCTACATAGATATTGCTGGTTTGATTTGTAAGTAGACATTTTTGTTGTCTCTGCTTAAACAATAATGATATTTAGACTTAAACTAAATTTTATCTTTTTTCTTATATGTTAGTGATATATTTTATAAAACTAGTTTATTAATTTTTTTATATGGCAAAGAATTCTTGTAAGGATATGTGGGGGTTTGAATATATTATCCTAAAACCTGTTAGTAACCCAAAGTTAGGCAAGGGAAAAGTATGTTCTCATGCTTCCTGAAACACTTCATTATTTTGCAGAAAAACGTGGTTCTCTGTATCACAAATAAGGCAACCCCTCTGAGACACCTGCAGATAGAGTTGTTATACAACCACAAATGTCTACATCTTCATGTTGGTCCACCCAGTAGAGAAATTGTTTACCATAATTTTGAGTGCAATTGTAAAAAGGTTCCGTTTCAATTGCTTTTTGTTAAGTTACCCTTAAAAGCTAGCTTTGGACAACAGCAAACTGTCTGTCATAACCTACTGCTGAGATCACCACATGGGCTAATGACCCAAGATTTTATTGAGCTCTGAGGCAGGTGTTACATTTGCTCTCTGTGTTCTCAGTCTCGGAGCTAACAGATGTAGGACAGTTTAGTGCCTGCAGCAAACATCCTTAGTCTCAGTGACATTTCTTGGTGTGTATGATTCCCTTTAAGATTAAGAGCTTCATAATACTTTGCACTATGACAAACTATGTTTATCAAACTGAAATTGGATATAAAGTAGTTGTCAATTCTGATATATAAAACTGAGCATTTTGTAATTGTTTCATACAATGTAGATAATATTATTGGACCAAATAGTACATACCTGCTACTTTGCCAGTGATTGCTGCTGTTCGTACTCTTCCTGATGGCGACATCTGCAAGTCTCGTTCACCTTATGTTGTTTGTTTATTTTAGTTTAGAGAGGTAGAGAAATATTAAGGATTTGAATGTGACAGATACAGAAAGAGAAAAAGTATTTGTTTTGAAATTTGGTCTTTAGAAATAATGTATTGATAACCAAAAGAATATACAGTCTTATGATGATGAAAAGTCATTCTATTCTGTAAGATCTTGGAATTACACAATATTTGTAACTTCATATTCACAGGTAGAAGGAAAGACACTACTCATGCTTTATTTCAGTTCTGAGTTTGTCAAATGTAAGTAAATGAGTTCTTGAATTAGCTCAGGAGCTGTTCTTTGTGTCTGAAAAGAAGTTATTCCAATTGTAGACTAGCTTAGCCCTTCCCATAGACTCTGTTTCTTCATCCTCAATCACTAGCTCAGTGATTTAAGTTTTTAATAATTTTAGTAACAAACGTCGTAATTTTCTAGCGTTCTAATTACATGGCTATCAATGAAGTAAGGAGTTCATACCTTAAGCCTCTAATCTTTTACAAGCTTTACTTGAAATTGTTGAAGGCTCTGGTAATGTTTTAAAATGCTTTTAATTTCTTTTTTTTGGACCTTTCTTGAGTTTTTCCTTCACTTTACATTCATTTTCTGTCTTCACTTGAATAATGTATTTGACAATTTCTGTGTGTATAGAACACAGCTCAGTGAAGTCCCAGGAAGGTATGCCGTTAGGATGCCTAGCAACTAGAGTAATACAAATATTTGCCGAATTTTTTTCTTCTACGAATTAATGTTTCCCACCCACAACACTCCTGTGAAATTCAAAAGCTATCAAAACAGAGCAAGAAAAGGACCAGTTCATTTAACTGCTGTAAATATTTCCAAAATATCTAATTTTTCCTTTGCACTGCTCAAATTAGTGTCTCAGGTTATGGAAAGGTTTACATCATTATTGAATGAAGTAATCCACTTACTGAAATCTGATATGAGTGACTTGAGAGAGGGAAGGGCAGGAAAGAAAGGTAACAAACTCAATTTTTCTCCCATTCGAGAGGTGATCTTTCAAACATGTACCTAACTTAGAGAATTGCAGAATTTCAGATCCCTGCTCAGACTGCTGGTGTACCAGTAAAAATGCCTGCTCTCCTGCATTTTCAAACATCTCAATGAAGTGATGTCTTTGACCCAGCTGCTCAGGCAACAGAGACGGGGAGATTCTTCCATTGAAGTGGGCAATGCAAGGAAGATAGCTTGGGTTCTGGTTCAGGTTCAAATTCACTTTTTCAGCAAGACCCCTGCCTTCACTCTGTGAACTTCTGAAAATCCTGAACGCATCAGAAATAAAGAATATGAACATGCTTTATTTGTTCTTGGTCTTATGCTCTAGCAAGTATGCTGCTCAGCATCACTGCCCTACTGTTGTAAGAGTCACAACATACCCTTATAAATGTAGATCCAAAATAGATTTGGCTGTGGTTTGACTTCGACTTAAATCACAGCTGTACATGAGCACTTCACTGTAGCCTTTTAAAGCAAGCAGAAATGTATTTAGAGGGGATGGTCTCATCACCTTGAGCTAACCTAAACTTTCCAAGATGCTAGTTTGCTTGGCATCTCTCCAGGCTGGTTGCTTTGAAGTAGGATTCCAGAGAAGCCAAATTATAGTAGCTTTATAGCTATCACATTCCTGTCAATGCTTGAGGGATTTCAGAATGGAAACAGAAATAAATGCAAGCTGTTAATGTATGAAATAAGCTGTGCTCAGAGAGTTGTGGTGGGTGAAGAGGGCAGAGAGAAATGTGCGTTGGGAGCTGACTGTGTGGTGATAGCTCCTGGCTGAATTTGTAGGATGAAATTACAAGTAGAGATCCTGTTTGTAGAGGTAAAAATTACTATTTTAAAAATAATAGATTAAAATATTTTCTGATATTAAAATATTTATGAATTGTTGGAAAGGAAAAAAATAAAAATTCCCTCTTTTAACTATTTAATGGATTTTGCATTTCAGCTGGAAAACTACTCATTACACCCCTAATATTGGTTCTGGGACTGGCCCTGGGAGCCGTAGCTGTTGTAATAGGTAAGAATTACATATGTGAATGAATCTAATCCTGCTTATGCAGTGACTTTCTCTATATGATATCTCAAAGACATGGAGACAAAGTACAGATTTCGCAGATACTGTTTTAATATTAAATGAATGATTTAAAAAAAAATAAAATGTATGCTTACTAGCTTTATTTTTTTGCCATTTATTTGGTTTTCCAGTCTTTAACTGTCTACAGCAGTCTTTAACTGCTGTAGATAAACTAGCAAAAAGTTCACAGTAACTTAAATGTAATCCTGGGGGCTGGCTGACCCAGCCTTTAATCACCCCATTGAATCACAATTTTTAGATCTTGGCCATGAGTATGACAAGATTTTTAGGGAACTAAGGCCTAGTCCTAAGAGTTCACCAGCTTGAAGATGCAATAACAACAAAGCAGCAAATTGGGATGAGTCAGTCTCAAAACATGATCCAGTGCAAAGGCTGCCAAATTGTATTCCATCACAAAAACTATGAACTCATTTGATTACAGTGTCAAAGCTCTGTTAATGTCGTTGTATTAATGTGGACACAGATATTTTAGCAAAGATGCTCTTTGCCTGGCTTAGCTGAGTTTTCCTGCAGAAAGGAGATCAGCTGTGACAGCAAGGTACAATTTTTCTCGTGCGAATGCATATCCACTCTTTATGTTGGGAGCAATATGTCATTCATGGATCATGCTGCTTCACAACTTCTTATCAAACTGCTTATTCCATTGAGAATTTGCAGTCCATGCCCAGCCCTGAAGTATATTGGGATGTGGCTCCTTCATTTTGATACAATAAAACCAAAATATACTGGGATAGTTATATTAATAAGGTTGTAAATAATCAATCAACCTATAACAGAAGTACTATTACAGCTTTCTAGACTACATCTTGCCAAATAATGAATATTGCTGTAATTTCTGTATTTAGACCAACCATCTTCACTGAAGAGAGTGAGTGATGTCAATCTTAAATATTTATTCTATTCAGTAGCATTTTTATGCCAACATTTTAAACAATAAAGACTTCTTAATGCCAGTAAATCTTATTTTGGTCTACAATCTGATATAATCTATGATGGGGAAAAAACCCACTTTTTTATATATACTAAAAATTAAGAGGGTTTTGCAGTAATACAGTAACAATAATAATCAGAATGCCATTGAAGTCTCATCGTAGGCTTGGCTGGATAAGATGCGATCAAGGCCAGGAGTATGAGCAGTTTCAAAAACATTGATTATTTATAGAAAAGTTTTTGTCTTGAGGTAATTAGAGCAATATTTGCTTCCAACCACTGTTAGACTAATCTCAGTTAAGTAGCTGTAAACCATACTGCACCATTTACAAGGCTATTGAGCAAAGCCCTGTGATTGTAGTAGTCTTTTGTTCTATGTTATCACTGTAGTGGTGTCTGAAAAGAAAATCTTCAGCCATTTCAGTGTGCAGGTGGCAAGAGAAAGGGGAAGATGCTTCTCATTTGGGTTTCAGTACAAACTATTTGACAGATTTTTCACCTGAATGATTGCAATGTATTTTTTTTTTTTACAGCTTTCTTTGTCTCAAAAGACTTTTAAGAATAAAGAGTTCCCTGTCTAGGCAAGGATAAACACTGATACGATTCAAGATGAACATTTGGTATTACTTCACAGTAGATGAGGACGTTCATAAAAATAAATAAAAAGTAAAACTCTAACATGCTGTCCCTATTGCATGTGAATCTAATTGAGAACTAGTTTAGTTACATCAGCTTTGAATTTAGAGCTAAGAATTTCCAGAGTGCTTTTAAAAGTTTTATATTTGTACCTTACACCAAACAGCATGGTTCAGAAATTAATTTGTCAGAGATGAGTGTAGGGTTAGCAGGAATTTGTTGTAACAGAAAGTGTAGCTTAATTCGTTATCAAAGACACTGTTTGCTGCAGCCTAGTATTATTTTCTGCTTGTCCAAATGCCTGGTCTAAATTCTTCTGAGACATGAAAAGTTCTATTTGAAAAACTGTATTTAAAGAACATAACACATGCACAAAGGATTGTATTTAATTATGGGGTTTTTTTCTCCTGTTTCCTTCTTTTGGCAGGTTTATTTGTGTTTCCTATCTATTGCCTTTGTAAAAAGCAGAGGAAAAGGTCACGGACAGGTATGCCCTGGTGAGGACGGACATTACTCGCCTGAAGTGAGCTGGTCCTGCAAGGGCTATCCGTGTTTTATGTGACAGAGCAATACAGTGCTGGTTACAGCCTCAAAGCCACCGCCCTGGAAGAAGGATGGAGGCTCTCCTGCCATCTTCCCTCAGCCGAAAACACTACTGCAGACCAGAAAGCCTCTTTTCTGGTGCATTCTCAACAAGATGGGCCCCCTGACTGCTGCTTTTTAAATGTCTTTGGTTTGGGGTTTTTTAGTTATGACTTTGGAGGGTTTTTTTTGAGTCTAAGTTTCTGAACCAGACAATCCAGGTCTGTATTGTAGCCACAACTCTACTACCGATTTGGCCTGTGAAGAAGCATTTAACTGCTAACATGTGCTCGTTTAACTTCAGCGTCGGCCTTTAAGGTGGAAATGCTTACAAGTGTTCAGACTCTTACTGTATACTGAGCATACTACTTTTGGTATTAAAAAGTACTTCTGTAAATAACTTCCATCACACAGCATTCTGTTCAGCATACCGAAACCCCATGCCATGCCAGAGCACGACAGCTGGTTATCTTCTGAGTGCTCCTGCCAGTGGAGTGCACATTGCCACCGCCAAACTGCAGTGCCTCAGAGGGAAATACCCTTAGTACTGAAGCGCCGTGATACTTAAGAATATGGTGATTGGTTTCACTTCAGTAATTTATTTATGACAGTCATTAATATTAATGGCAGGGGGTGTGACAAGATTTGTTACAACAGGACTTCATTTTTAAATTCTCACAGTGCAGAAAAAATTTGAAGGGTTTAGATAAGAAGACGTGTCAGTGGCCTAATCTGTCCCAAGATATCCCTGAAGTGTGTTTGCAGGGAAGCTGGAAACCTGCTCTTTTGTTCTGACTTGGAATATGATAGACATGCTACACACTACCCGTGTGAGGATTGACTTGTTGAAATTTTATAAACTAAATAGCACATTTTGTTTGTTTGTTCCTTTGAGTAGGCTACTACTACATAAGTCTTGGAGTATCCACTGATGTCTCGTGAGGAAAATCTGTGAATCCAGGGTAAGGGAAGCAATCATAAATTCTTAGGAGACCACTTCATTCTAATTTTCTGCTTTCAGTGTTTCTCTTCCTGGCACATGACAGTTCTGAAGAGAATAGCTATCTTTGCTCTTTTTTTCTTAAGTTCCACTGTTTGCTACCAAACCTCTTTCTCAGTGCATCACAACAAAAGCAGTGTAATTCAGAGAAAGGAATCAGTTACTCAGAATTTTTACACTTAATTTTAATCCAAATTTATCATACAAATATAACTTAAAAAACAGAATCAATTTGTTTAGACAGAACACTGAAACAAAAAAGAAAGGAGTTAAATAAGAAAAAAACTACTTCATACTGTAAAAATACAGGCTAATCTTAAGAAGATTGGATTTGTACTGTGAAGGTACTTCTTTTCAGTGTGTGTGAAGATACACATGTATTTATATGTATGTTTGTGTATATATGGGGAAAAGGGAAGCAGGAAGATGGGAAATGTCCTTAAGAGTCCACTGACTTCAAAAATTAGGCTCGCAAATAACGTATCATTTAAGAGGATGTACTTTGTGCCGCTTACTTTTAAAATTGTTGTTAAATCTGAATCCAGTTGAAATTTTCAAGCAAATAGTGTTCTGCCCCACCAACATAGTACTTGTTATAAGATACTTTGACTTCGAAGCCTCAGTGGAAGAAGCTGATGACTTTTGTTTACCTGGAAACACAAATATCAGCTTACCATAGCTGGCTAGTATGCTTGTTTTCTGTCAGCTTCTGGTTTTGTTTTCTTGCGTTTTTTTTTTCTTTAAGCACACCATGGTAGTCAGTAACTATTTAATAATTTTCATTTGAATTTAAGGGCACGTTGACCCTGTTATCCTAATAGTAAAAACAGTACTTTTCAAAGATTGACAAATTAAGGAGGGAAGCAATGATATTTAGAAATAAAATTCAAAGCCTCTTGTCAATGCAAATTTACCTGTTACTTAGACTTACTTTCTTCTGAGATACATCAGTTTTCTGTTTGTTATGTCTGAAGTTAGAAGCTGCCTTAAAATTGGTCTTGGTTTTGAGTGTGTTTTCTGAGGCTATACATATCAGTTATCTTTGGCTTACTCAGGGATTTTTATTCCTCTCTTTAAATGTCAAATAATGAAGATATTTTTGTATTATTTAGAAAAACCTTCAGACCTCAGAGAGCGAGATATATATAGATAGATTTGGGTTTGCAATGCAGTCTATAACTTGGTGTCAAACTACTCCACTTGAGAATATTTTAGTACTTGAGATTATCTGTAATAACTACATATTGGATTTATTTCCTTTCTTTTCCTGGTTCTTTATAAATGTTTGAGATATTCCTACAGTCTTTGTACCTGTTTTCACTCTGCCATGTTTGCTATTTTCAGTTTTTAGAGTTCAGCAAGATCTGAATCTAAGATATTAGAATAAAGAACATAAAAGGGAAGATAATAGATCTGCACTTACTTCTATTCAGAAAGTATGTCCTTGTGGATGGAGAAAAGGAACATACAACTCAGCTCCTACATTATCATTTCATCTAGGCAATTTTGATTTTATCAGAACAGATAAAATCAAAGGGAATGGTTCTTCATTTTGTATACAGAGCAGAAAGAGACATCTTTGACCTTATAAAAATGAGTGAATCTGTGCTTTTTCTGTTGGGAAAAAAAAAAGGAATTGCAATAATTTTTGCTTTTCTGTAGAACGGGATAAGTGTTCAAGAACCAGGCAGAATAGGGATATGGAAGTCTTTTTCCATCTGTATAAAAATATTGCCACTGGAAAAGTACATAAATACAATTTTTATCAATATTATATAACATAACGTAGTAAAGCATGAGAAGTAGCTCAGTACAAAGCTTTATTTGGTTAAACATCAGCTTTTAAGCAACTCATCACAACAAACCTTATATACATCAAAGCCACGTCATTTGTTTTAAAAGCATTAATTTATTCATTTGAAAGCAACTGAATGGACTTTATAAGGAAATTATGTAAGTGTATTGTGCTTTTTGTAACTACTCTAAAGAAACCATCAGGCTGTTCTACTCCATCTTTATTAGCAGAAAACTTCATCAGGCAGCTATATTAACCTGCTAAGGCAGATTTCACACTACTGTATGCTGATCATCACTGGTTGTTGTGTTTGCTTCCACGACAGTTAATATTTAAGTTTATTTATCTTTGTGCAAGGTTGTTGCTCATCCATACCTGTGTCAAGACTAGGAAATGCTTAAATCCATTCTACACTAGCCTTCTGTTTCAGGCTTTCCTGGGGCTGGATTTGCTGTGTGCTCAGCCCCGTGTGCAGTCAGAGCTGGGGCTCTCCCTGTGGTGCTGTGGCTGTGTGTGCCCCATCCTGCTCCTGCTGGGAGGGCTGGCTGGACACCCCACCCCTCGGGGGCTGCATTCCCTTTCTCCACTATGCAGAATTTAGTTCTGTTTCATTAATGGGGTCAAGTTCCAGGGCTACTCAACCATATCAGCAGCAGGATAATTTTCTGTCCTGTGGCATCTCAGAGCATAGTTATGTGTATGTACAGAGTTCATCCAGGAGATTGTGACTGGAAAATAATTGTGCTTTTCCTTATGTCAGTCTATTAGCCAGTGAGAGTAATAGGCTGAGTAGGAATACAAGCAAGAGGCAGAAAAGCAATTCCGAGTAGCTTTGTGCTGAGCTGACCCATCAGGCTTAGTTCTGTACAAAAAAGTCAGTGAGTCTTCGGTTCTCACCACCTCTATAATAAACAGCATATTCCTACCTGTTCAGTGTCATTAAAGTACAGTGCACTTTGAGTGATCTATTATCTTCCTTTGAGGCAGTGAAAATGTGTAAGGGAAGATTTTGTGTTTGATTTTGATGCTCCTAATGCTGAATTCATAACTCCCCCGGTGTGTTAAGGGTTTTTGGAATTTACACCTATTTATTCATTATAAAAGTTTTACTTTATTAAAAATACTAATTTGCGGGGACTACTGCCAATTTTAACTAGAAAGCATTTTGGCTCACCATCAGGTATTCTTTTTAGCCAAGAGGCTTTTTGCTCTTCCAAAGACTGTCACAGTTCGTGTGATGTTAAATGGTGTGTAGGTGGGGCAGTAATTCTCTCAGAGGATACAAATTCACTGGTGATGGAATGGTTTCTTATGCCAATTAGATTTGAGAAACTGTTTAATATTCAATGGCCAAATAGTTTGCCATGCAGATTCTTGGTTGGTTTATTAGATTTTTTTAAATTTAATTGTGTTTCTTGAGCAAACCTTACATCGTAATTTTTGGTATGCTAATTGTGCAGGTTCAAGTTGTAGATAAGAACCACAGATTGCTGTTACTGTTATAATCTATATTAGATCTCTGCTGATGGAAAGAATCCTACATGAGGAAACTATTAGATAATTTCTTACTTTCTTTTAATTGTGAAGCCTTATGGTTAGAGTGAGTCAGCTTCATTCCTGACATCAGTCACAGCCCCATTAAACCAGAGAAGACTACTTTTATGCCAGAGTGGAATTTGGTCGCAAATACTTTTATAAAAACATCTGGAAGTATGTTGATAGCCATGGAAAACCCAGTTCACTTCTTAAGAAGTTCAAACTACTATAGAGCCACTCCTCGTTTGCAGAACGATGCCAATGTGTTTAGAAAGCGCAGGAGAGGGAAGGAGTTGGGAAGAATTTCTGGACAACACTCTCATTAGAGCAGATTGTCAGGAGAGGGGATACTAGCTTTTAATATAATAAAGAAACCTTAATGCTTTGAGCCACTAATAAAATTAGGAACAACACCCAAAGACAGTGTTAAATAACATTTCTTCAGATTCTTTCTTCAGAGTAACAAATAGCACACTGTAAGAAGTGGAATTGCAGCTGTTCAGTATTTTTAGGACTTAACACATAAACTTGAGGACACACAACATCTAAAACGTTATGTTGCTGATCTATTTGGTAGTTTGTCTTGTTACTGTTACATGAAAAACCAGCTGAGCCTTGATATAATTGAAAGACAAACACTGTTTTCACTGGTGTTACAGCTTGAGCAGTACTTAACACCCCAAAACGTTTTTGTGATAAAACTAACAAATGGAGCTGCTTGCAGATGAAGCTTCCTCACTGAATCTTCCTTACCTTTCTGTGCATAAGAGTTCAGGAACCATATGTTCTCTCTGCAGTAAGGAGCAGACTGCACGTATTAGGCAGTTAATCACTGATGCTTCTCTTCTCTTGGCCTAATAGTGAAATTCCATAAGGGAAATGAAAACTGATCTTAGAGTGCATGCTCTGATTTCAAAGTTAAAAATGTGTAATAAGTTTTAATTATTCCATAGCAAAAAAATAAATGCATACCTTTTGAAAAATAATTCCAGCTGTTTATTTATAAATCTCTCTGTATAACACAATAGTTATAATAGTGATGCATTTATTAAAATATCCATATTGTGCAAAAGAAAGCCTTTTTTTGGTGCTTATTTGGCTTATCAAAACATGAAAAATTAATCGGAAGTGTTTTGGATGGATCAAAGTCAGAAGAGAAGCTTATTGTGTAAAAATATTTGTTTAGCATAAATGTGAATTTTGCACATATCTTAAACACAGTTGCATGCCACCCCTGTTCAGTGTTCACCTTGTGGAAAATTTGTCAGACTGAAAACAGTATTTTTGAAATGTTTAACTTACTGCCACAGAGGATGATGTTACTAACACAATGCCACATTTTACCTCATTTTTAGAAAGGAATATAATTACAGAATCCAGAGAAGCTATTCAGGTGTTTAAAACCTGTCCTGTAAAACTGTAATGCAGTCAGAAAACATCTTCATGCCTTATGTAAGCTCTGGATGAGCAGATGGATTCAGTCTTTAGTCATGGACTATGTTTTTGCATAAAAAATGCACTCTTTGGGGTTTTTCATAACAATTTGCATCCTGCTGCTTTGTGTCCAGAAATTGCAAGGACAGGGATGAATTTACATTTCACTGTCTACCATCTCATATAAAATGTTTACCATCTTTCCATTCTTACACACTTTGTTTGTATGCTTTCCTTCTCCTTCTAAATTTCATCATTTGAAACTGACTTGTGAAAATGGCTGAAGATCAAATTGGACCTGTAAAATGTGATCTCATAAGAAGTTGCTTTGTTAACGCTTTGCTGAGCTATAAGCAAAAGATTAATTTTGTTGTATTTACATTACTTAAAAGCAAGATGCTGAAATCTATTTTCTCCATGGCTTTTAATTTTGCAATTTTAAAATGTACTTAAGTAGCACAGTCATCTTTGTTACATAACTAACCATCTGAGTACAAAATAACATTTTCGCATATTTGTTAATTCTTGTCACTAGGGTAGAGATGAGAATAGTGCTGAAAAAAGAAAAAATTATCTCTGAGGAACGTGTCCAAGTTGAATTTAATTCTATGACAATTCAATGAGAAGTCTTCCCTTACTCATCTCTTGTTTTGTGTATTTTAGGGTAAAGGGTTCCCTTTAAAATAGGTTTAATTTGAATGGCAGGGGTTGAGGGTAGTGAGATAATAGATCACATCCTTTTTAGTGTACAGGCTTCTGGCACAACTAGGATGTTGACCAAACACTGTGGATTCATTAAGAAAGCAATTTTTAGTTCTGCATTTGGGCAACATACAAGCTAGTATTGGAACTTTTTGTAGTATATATATGGGAAGACTAAGAACTTATAAAACCTGGAGGAAGGCAGTGCCCATGAAATCGACACTTGAATTCCAGTATTTAATGTTTTGCATAATGAGAGATTTTAAATGTGTAAGTGCCTTACTGCGTGAAACAAATGAAAGGTGTTCATACCCCTCAACAGAGCAATATGGGAATTCCTATTCTCTGGACTCCTACAATTATATTAAGCCAAAGTAATCACTATTGTTTTGTTCAGAAAGTTGACAAATGTATTAGGGAAGAAATTAGCCTATCATAAAAGTAATCTGGCATGCTTATTTTAATTCTGGTGATGTCATTTCTGTGGGGTTTTTTTAACTTGTTCCTTGCGGCCATCCCTCCCCCTGACTCTTCCAATCTTCCTTCAGACTTCTGCAGAAATGCACCTTAACTTGTTGTTAGAGTAAGTTTGGCTCCTCCAACATAAGAAGCCATGAGTTTTCAACCACTGAGAGAACTGCAGCCTTTTGGAGAAGAGAATTCAGCCCAAGTACAGTTAGAGCACAGCCTGCTGTGGCTGTACCTGCCAGCTCGGGGCTCGCTCCTGCCTTGTTCACACTAATTGTTGGAGGTGGAAGCACCAAGGAATATGGCACATGGAGGTGCACTGTAGCTAGGCTGGGACTTAAAAGGTTGAGAGCATTTCAGTGTTATCCAGCTGGAACTAACATATCCTGTTAATACAAGCTGGTAACTCCTCTGGGGTGGGTCTCTTGGTGGACGAAACCATCAATCGAGATGGTGGCGCAGCTCTGGGTTCTCTGCCCAGCCTTTACTGCAGGGTGGGAGGTGTGATCTGGAAAAGTATTACTCATTTTGCCATCATCTGATAGCTTCAAAATGGGCGTTCTGGGGTTTATTTCTTCTTACTTCCTTTTCCAGAAGACAGTGGAATTTTACCCTTTATGTTCTAGACTTACTAAAGGCCCTGTTTGCCCTTACTAACATTGATGCCACTATTGTCCATCTATTACTGAAGTCAGGAATAAGCTACTTTTCTAAAATTACCTTGAATTTCATGAGCTTATGGTTGCAATTATCTGTCAAAAAAAAAGAAATATAAAAGTTGATTACCAAAAGGAAATTGAGTCAATGGGGGGTGAGAAGAAAAATGATGCTTAGAAAGTCTATTTTTTGTAGATTCATGATCATAAGATGGTTTAAATACATTCAATTTACTCCTCTGAAAATTTGTAAAGGAAAGAAGGAGGAATTAAGATGAGTATCCCTTTGAACCTTATATTTTCCTGAAATTCTTCAATTTTTCAGAACGGTAGGAGGGGCTTTTTTTTCCACCCTGGAGTTACTAATTGTTAATATAGCTGTCATGGTCTTACTGTGAACACTAATGTGACTGTTTAGTCAGGATTCAGCTTGCATATCTGAAGGTTTTGGTGATTGAGAATTTGATTTAGAGCCATACTGCAATAAAATTATAAGTGAATTATTACATATCTTAATGACTTCTATTTCAGCATTATCTCAAAATTTTAGACATTAAAAATTTCATTCTTCTATAATCCATTAAATAGAAGATGCCATGTATCAAAATTCTCTTTCAATCTTATGAGTTACTGTTTATTTTTACTGGTTATTTCCTTAAATGAATTTTTTCTCTCCTAGAACCAGCAGACACACAAACAAAATGCTGATAAGATTTCCCCATTATCTTTGTCTTGCATATAGCTGACACTATATTTTCTGTTGCATCGTATTGCAACAATGGTCTTCATGCTGTAATAACTTGATGAAAATATTCAGTAGTCCTGGGCAATATTTTACAAATAATTCATCTTCAAGTTTAAATGTATACCACTAATCACTGTTGAGTGTGCTACCTGTGTGGTTGCTTTAGTTTATGTCAATGTTTTGTAAGAATTATTTCTTGCTACCCTCTTCAGAGTGCCTTTTTATTTAGGAGGTCTAGAAGATGGTTCACTGAAGTCTTCTGTAGAATCTACCATAGTAATGTCTGATCTTTAAACTTGTCCTGATGAATGTATAACTAAAATCTTGTTCTTTAAAAAGCTATAGTAGACACAGGTTGTATATGCACATGTACATGCATGGATACAAGGGAAGGTGTTCTGCCAATGTTTGTCCTGCTGGACAGGACCTTTCGGAAGTAAGTGAATTTTTTAACAGTTTTATTTTCAAAATGTTACCTCACTAGTATTCAGTAGTAGATATTTCTCTGTATTGCTTCACTTTGCTAAATACAATCACGGTAGGCAGTTTAATTTTTAAAAGACTCTGCGATGAATCTGGTGTTCGTATGAGACTGAATTTCGTAAGACAAAACTTATGGTACTTTGTTTTCTTTAAAGGCATTCCTTTCACTTACACTGACATCACAAGCCCCTGTTAGCAACAAACTGAAAAAGTGCTTCCCCATGATGAAATGGAAGAATGTAAAGGAGCATTTGAATGCACTCCACCCATCTTAAAATGAGTATTCAGAAATGGGGGTGGGGAGCAGTGGATTTGATTAATTGTGGGGAGACATGCATTGTAGAGTTCGTTCACTTGGCACACAAGGGGTTTTACAATGTCATCTAGTAATGTCTACCTAATAAAATTTTGAAAAAATAAATGAAATTGCCTGAACGTTTAACTCTTTCTTTAAGCAATTCTATGTGTGAAGGATAGTGGACAGTCTCCAAGGAGTCTCCCTTAAATTTGTAATACTTTTTATGATATTTATGTAATCTTAAAAAAACCTCACAAGATAATTTAACTTCAGGATCTTTGTGTTCTCAAACCCTGTATTAGAGTCACTTCACTCTTTAGCTGCTTTAACACTGGAAATGAAAGTGGAGGTAACAAGCCAGTTTACTGTGGTGAATATTTTAATGTAAAATACTCCCTGTCATGTGGTCTCATCTCTGGCTACTGCTTTCACTTTTAAAAGCATCTTAATATGTAACACAGAATTTTACCTTCTCATGAAATGTTAGCTTAAAATTACATAAAATGAGGAGAAAATTTTCCCATTCCCTTTTTATGACTACTTCCTAAAGCTTTATCATTTTCAAAGGGTTTCAGTGAAAGCAGTCTGTAGCCATAAACTTGAAATAGGTAACCCATTAATTGAATTAATTAAATTAATTCATTTCCTCTTTTCTCTGGAAAGGAACTGTGTACAGTTTCCTTACTAGGTGGCCTGTCAGTATTGATGGAATGTGTTTTCTGATGCATTTGGGATTTTTAAACACTATACCTAATTATGAAGTTGCACTTGCACATTCATGAACAGGCACACAAGCTATCACCATTACCTACTCTTTGTTTCTGCAGCAAATGAAGCTGAAAACCAATTCCCTGCCAAGAAATATACAGCAAAAATCTTGAGGCTTATGCTTGATCTCTCTGGTGGAGGACAAACCTTTCAGCCCTCTCCCCGGCCCCCTCCAAAACAGTCAAGATTTGCAACGAAATGTCAAGGACATCATACCAGAGGTTCCTTATCTGCAGGAATTCTAGTGTGCAGTGTGCAGCAATGGAAGGATAGTCTGCAGGCCAAAGGAATCAATAGCCCTGGAGCCAAAACCGAAGTTAAAGGCAAACTTCTCACTTGCAATCTCAAACTGTTTGACAAAAGACAGACAGCAGACTTTGATTAAAAGCATGGTATTTCCCCAAATAAATAGAACTAATGTGCTCCACAGAATTGTAATCTTTAGATGCTCCCCTTCAGCTGATTGACATGTACTTTTGAGGGTTTTCATGCTTTGCTTAGTAGTTTGGCTTGAGCAGTGAAATGAGTCACTGTGGGGTATGTGAAATACTGAATTATAATTAGCAACCATGTAAACCTGTTATGCATCAAAAAGGTCAATACAGCTTTTATGAAGGAGTCTTGTCTTATCAGCCACAAAGTTTATTGGCAGATAAGCAAGTTCTGTAATTCTTTGCAATAGTCTCAAATTAAACCTAGACATGGTCTAAGAAGGAGGATCTCGCATGGACGAGGTGGGCATAGTTTGGTCAGAACATACAAATTGATCTGAGTAAATAGCTTTTGCCATGAAGGGAGGATGCTGCTTGAATTCTGCAGAGATGTGTGTTTGGCTTTGCTCTTGAACATACTTCCAAATTATGTCAAGAAAAAGGTAAGCAATGGGGTAATAAACAATCTTGAGTTATCCAGTAGTGTATAAATGAGAGTTAGTTACAGTAATCAAATAAATGGATTTTGGACAACAACAAAATAGAGGTAGGTTCTTTGCATGAAATTATAGGACTGATTGATATTGGTTATCGTGTTTGTACCAAAAGTCTCTGAGTGATACAGGAAAGACAAAATAGTAACCAGATGGGATCTGTAACAAAAAAAAAGTAAGTCTTGAAACAGTGAAAGATAAGTGAAGTCTCCTGCCAAAGGATATTGTAAATGCTGAGAGCTGACATGAAAACTGGAGGAATTATGGGAGAGAAAGTAGTGGCAACTCACTTACTGTGCAGAATATCCTGCTTGGCTCAGAAAATCTTTTGAGTCAAAAATGTTTTGAAGCCTGAACAGTAGTAGATGGTAGTAATTTTTTTTTTGCCATATTTCCCATTCTCTCCCAGGTACCTGTTTTTATTTGCTGTCAAGAGACACTATTGGGTTCCCTGAAGCATTGCTTTGTATCAACATTTTTAGGTCATTTTCTTTTAATTGAAATTCCCTAGAATAGGGATAATGTTGTAGTGGATCCCAGCCTGATCCAATGAGAATGGAAGGCCTCTTCCATCCTACTTGACCATAGAAAACACTCTACCATGGATGAGATGCTGATAGGTAAGACAGGGGTTTGCAAAGTTGTGAAGTGGTGCAAATGTGTCTCCTTTGTGTACTGTTCTCACCAGCAGCTAATTTTTTTCCACCTATTCTGGGCAAGGTTCTTGCCTCAACCTAATTTCCACCTAGCTTGTCCTCTTACTCACTCTGGGATGTTATCACAATCATCTCATCCTTCCCAGACTGTTTTCCCTAACTCTTCCCTTACTAGAATACTGAAATAATCTGAAGCTAAGATTTTTGTGATCCTCTAGGAGTGTTGTATGCCTCTAAATCCATGTTCTGTGCTGGCCCAGGCCTTGCCTCCTTGACCAGTTTGGACATAAATAAATAACACTACTTCTCTAGAAATATTTCTTTCTAAATGAAGTGCCATTTT